GGAGATTTTGAATTCAAATCTCATAGGTATAGTCACAAGAATTTTTCCATTTAGTTATCTTCAAAATCTTCACAAAATAAACATATTTCGATGACAATCAAAGAATTTTTGTTAAGGTAGTTACTGATAGTCTCTAACATCTTGTATTCTAAGAGATACAATTTATTTTCAAATTCTAAATTCTTGATGCTCCTTTTTTAGTTTTCCCAAATTTCTTTGGTTGTCTCATGTGTAATAATGAATTTGTAGCTGAATTTTGAATTACAAATTTGACTTTATATTTTTTTTATTCTCGTTTAAGTGAACCTTGATCAGGGCAAGAGCAGAATTTTTAAAACATCTCTTGTATAGGTTTATCTTCCATTACAATTTTTTATAGAACATAACAAACTTGAAGATAAGATCTTAACTGTTCAAATTTAATATTTTTTATTGTGGGGCATTCAATAAGAAATTGTGGCTTGGTGTGATTAAAAGGTGGCATAATTGAAAATTGGAGCCCGATGCGATGCATTCATATTGGGCACGGAGAGCCCTAAAAGAATTAAAATTAATCCTTACAGGTTAGAAATAAGCCCTAAAGGTTTTTTTTTTTATAGAAAAAGTCTCCACTAGTTAAAAATGGTTGATTTTTTTTTGTTTTTAACAGAACTCACAGCTCCATAAAGATCTATGGCGACTCTGATATCATTTTTATGAAATCGAAGAAACGGAAGACAAAATTGAAAAGATAATTAATAAAAACTCAATTGTTGCATAAAAAATTACATCATTATTTATAGAGAATTAAAGGGAATAAAATAAAAGAAAATGTATTATTTTAATTTCTTCAAAAATAAAAAAAATAAATCTTTTATATTTAATGTAGATCCTACACTTAAAAATATTTTAGAATATTTTAAAACTAAAAAAGAAAATACATAATTTAGCATTGATGTAAATACTAAACCTAAAAGGAAATTAATAACTAAAAAGAATATTTCTAATATTTTAACACGATCACCGGCTCAGTGGTCCCAAAGACAATAATACAATTATGTCTTCAATCTATAAAAATATACTATATTGACTGCACTGGCAATGATTTGGACATTATTATTTCTTTCAAGTAATAGTGTATATATATATATATATATATATATATATATATTAGACTTGTTGTAGTGTGTATTCCTTCATCTTAAACTAAGAGGTTTTGAGTTTGATTCCCCTTGTATATGACGTGACTTTTGTTAGGGAGCATTTTACCTCTTAATATGAGACTTCAGCGCGAATTCAGATTTAGTCGGACTTCAATATCGGTACCCAACACTGGACAAAAAAGGAAAAAAAAACTTGGGGCAGAGCTAGCAACTAGCAAGGATCCAGAGATTTTATTCGAACTTTCTTGAATGAAAAATTACATCACTTACATATGTTTAGAATTTTATTTTTTTTACATATATGATAGATGTTGACCTTTAATCTTTTCATATATTTATTTTACATTTTGAACTTCTAGTAAAAATTTTGATTCCACCTAATTTGCTGATATCAAAGTTTATCTTTGGTCCACACTACTCATTTATATTTATTTGTTATGTTATATATACAATGCATTTATAAATAATGAGAAAGTCGTCGTCCATAATTCTAATTGGAGAAAGTTTGTTGTGTGACAAATGGTGCCAAAAAAAGCTGCGTAGACAAAGAAAATGATAGGCATCATCCACCTATTTGTCTTGTGACTATTGATTGTGTTATGTGAAAGAATCCTAAAATATGGTAGATCTCATTTTGTGAGCTTCAATAATTGGTTGCTTTTCTTGATATTATAATCAACAACATCATCGTTTGGGAAATATATACAAATTTATCTTATATACCTAACAAGTAAATTAATATATATTACTCACTTTCGTCGTTTCAATTTGTTTGATACAATCTTCTTATTAGTTCTTTTTTCAATAGAAGTATGTGTTGAAGATAAAAGAAGTTGATGATATGGAACAGGTTGAACAACATAGTACAATCAACAAATGTACAATTGTTAACTGTTATAGAGTTGGAGCTACACTAGGACTGAGCTACTAAATACTAATTAAATGTCGACTAGGATGTTGTGTCTTATACTAGCTAAACCTAGGATAGTTATTATAATTGTAGTAGTAGTAGTCGTAAACTTATACTGGTGTTATATTTGTATTGTAGTAGGACTCTAAGTATAGTCAGTCTAAGACTCTTCTCCTATATAAGGAGTAATGGCGGATCTAGGATTTTAAGGTTGTGGCTTGTGAGTGCTCTGAAAGTAGCGGAATCAAAAATGTAAAAAAGACATATTAACAATGAGATTCAAACCCGGGCTTAACAACACTAAAAGAGCCTTAAGCACCCACCCAAGAGACAATGGACTAGTTAGATCATTTGTTCATTGGGTGCTCTATGTTAATTTTATACAAATACCTCTTAATTTCTACACACACACACACACACACACATATATATATATATATATATATATATCTAGACAAGGTTAATGGGTGCTTGAGCACCCAGCGGACTCTATGTAGGTCAGCCCATGATAAGGAGCATTTATTTAACCATTTTAATCATCAATACAACCCGTAAGATTTCTACGATATGCAATCATTAAACAAATGGTTGGAATTCCTATCGTCAATGTAAAAATTAATCATATGATCAAGTTAGTTGAAGATATTTATAAGTGATTTTTTAAAAAGTATAAATATAATCTTGAAAATAAGATAAGTAACGTACTATAATAAGTCATCATAAAAATTTCTTACACCGATAATATACTATATAAGTTAAGCTCACTAGATATGGCTTAATTACTAAATCTTTTGGCTTATTAGAGAAGGAAAATCGTACGTAATAGATAAGAAATATTCACGGGATGCTGACTTTCTGAATAAACCATGTAGGGCTAATGGTAGTAAACCAAACTACATACCTTAGGATAATGATTATCAAATTTACTTGCACTTCACATGATTAATAAAAAAAAATACTAAATTTAACAAAATGATATTATTGAAATTTAGTCGAAATAATAGATGACATAATATTTCATGTATATATATACACAATTAATTCATGGTATAAGAAGAATATTGCGTCTAACTTAACACCAAACACTAGATTATGATGGGAATTAAGATAGTTGTCAAGTCCATATAAAAAGACCACTTATCTCATTAATAATCAATGTGAGACTTTTACATTCTTTAACACCTCACCTCATGCCTAGGATTGTACATCTGGAGTGTAGACAATTTACTTTGAAGGCCGAACATCGAGTGAGATGGATCCTGCTCTGATATTAAATGTAAAGAAATGAATCTCGGACCTATAACTCAACCTCCAAAACTATTTTGTGAGCTTTTTTTTAAGGTTCAATTAGATCCAACTTATATTTTTAATGTATAAGACAACAGAATTTAGATGGAATGATTGAGAGATCTATTACTAGATATAGAGTAGTGAGCCGTCCTCTTACATTGTGATAGTGAAACAACTATGTCTAAGGTATTCAACAAACTAGCTACAATGGGAAATCTAGACATATTGATATTGCATTTTGGGGTGGTAATTGGATGGGTTCGGTCAAATTTAAACGGATCATAATGGGTTAAGACAATAATCAGGTCAAGATCCAACCCAATCTAAATTTGCTTGGGTCAAATGGGTTAGGTCAAAATTGATTATATTACGGGTCAAGACCCAACTCAACCTCAATTTTTACTAAGCTTAATTATTTTAGTTGTTCTTTTAGACTATTTTAGTACCTAATAAAATTGTTAATATGTCAAATTGAAATAAAAAAGTTTTTATAAAAAAATATTTTGATAAAAAAACTTCATGAGTCAATTCAAATTACATATCAACTCAATTTTTAATGGGTTGAACTAATTAATTAATGGGTGGGTCAATAACCCACTCACTCTTAAACAGATTGGACGAATTGAATTTGATTTTGCCACCCCTAGTTGCATAATTGAAACATGAACATATAAGACAATTGATTTTTGAAGGAATTATCATGAGTTGAGTATATCATGTCTAAGGATAAGTGTTAATGAATTCAGGAAGCTATATCAGAGCCAAAATTATTTAATTTCATACTTCTGAGACCTATTTTAATATTCTAAAATAATCACCGCTCTAATCAAATTTCTTAATTAATAAGTAATAAGTAAATTATGGTTATTTATTTAAATAATTCTCGAACTCATTATAGTACTAATGTACTCTATTTTAAAATTCAAATAATTTGTGAGAACAAGTGTATATTTTTAATTAATAAGAATCCAATGGACCCATTTATCCTTATGCGATTAACGCGTATGGTAATGTGAATAACAGCTCTTTTCTTATATTGCCGGCTCGTTGGTATTTTGTTGACCATGCATGTGCCCAACGTCACAATCCTTATCCTCCACTTATATATACACATTTTTTTCCTGTCTCGAGCCCACACTAAATTTGAATTGCACAACATGATTCATTCAGGGATGACGTTCCAACAGAATTTTCTCCATACTCATGGCTCAAGTCTGACACCTCTAGTTAAAAGTGAAGTAGTAGGGGTTGAAACCCAAGACCTTTGGTTAAATGTGAAGGCTAGGGCGGAGTTAGGTGGGAGTTTGTGGGTTCGGATGAACCCAGTAACTTTTCCGTAGACCCTATATTTGTACTATAAAATTAAATAAATATATATATGCATATTAACTCGTAAACCTCTAACAAAATTGATTGATAGCTTAGTGGGAAGGAAGGAGTAGTAGAAATACTTTCCACATTACAACTGTGAGTTTGAATCCCATTATCAACAAAAAGTTTTTTTTTCTTTTGAGAATCTTCAAACTCCTAATTCTGACTCCGCCTTTGTTTGAAGCAGTCTAGTGTCCCATTACTGCACCACAACTTGGTGCACTTGTATTTATACATGTCTATATATACTTTCAGCTTCATCACTAATTATATACACACTAGAAGTACTATTTTCTACTTTGATAGTGTTAGCATATATAGTTTGGGTGTGTTGATTTCATTAACATCATGAAGATGAAAATGATATTATCATTATTAACATTTCATTGTTGTGTAATCCATTTAATTTCAGCCCAACTTCTTCAAGTTGGTTTTTACAATACAACATGTCCACAAACTGAAACTATTGTTCGACAAGCTGTGCAGAATCAGTTCAATAGTGACCCTTCCATCACTGCAGCTTTGCTTCGCATGCATTTTCATGATTGCTTTGTTAGAGTAAGTCTACTACTTTATGTTTTTAGCTACGTATATCGGAGAAATCAGGATTTTTAATAAGTGATTCAAAATATGAATCAGTAAACGTACGAACTAGCTAGTCGAAGATCAGGGTTAAACATTGATTATATATACATAAAATATAACGAGTCATAATATTACATGTTTACTAATTGACAACATCATGAATGTCAATATCATTTGAACATTTCTTGTGAAATAAATTGCCCAAAATTATATCTTCACTTGGTATCGATTCATGTCTTTGTTCTATATGTCTTTCAAAACTATAATTTTTCATGTAGTTAGATTTCTCTATTAATAGACATTCTCTCTTTTTATATACTTCATTTTTTTTAAATGCATATTTTATCCTTATATTATCAATCTGTCTTCTTCTTTTTAACTTCTTTAAAATTAATATATTTTCCATTTTTTGTTCTATGTAACAAATTCTATCTATGTTGCATAGAATATAAAGGGAGGAGAATGTCAATATTTCAAAACTCAGGGGTATATACGTCATTTGGGAGTGTAAATGATTTTCATCAAATAAGGAAACAATCTTATAATTCAATTTGGAATTCATGTGATGTTTAAGAAATTGCATGAATGTCTATAGAAAAATAGATATACAATCTGTGTACATCTTGATATATATTATTGTTTGCATGATTAATTTTGTTCCTAAAAATGTATAACTTGATTTTAGGGATGCGACGCATCGATACTCATAAAGTCAATAGGTTCTAAGAAATCAGAGAGAGAAGCTGGCCCAAACAAAACAGTACGAGGATTCGAGTTGATCGACAAAATAAAGAAAACCCTAGAAACATCATGTCCATCAACAGTTTCATGTGCTGACATAATAACACTAGCAACTAGAGACTCTGTAGCATTAGCTGGAGGCCCAAATTATCCAATTCCAACAGGTAGACGTGATGGGCTAATTTCAAATGCAGCAGATGTAAATTTACCAGGCCCATCATTAACAATTCCACAAGCCCTCCAATTTTTCACAAATAAAGGACTTACTTTAAATGATATGGTCACACTATTAGGGGCTCATACAGTTGGAATCGCACATTGTAATTTTTTCCAAGATAGGCTATCGCCCGTACCTGATAAAACTATGGATCCTACATTAGCGGCTCAGCTATTGAAAACTTGTGCTAAAAGTTCTGCAACGGCGTTTCTGGATCAAAATACGTCTTTTACTGTTGATAATGAGTATTATAGACAAATTATGTTACGTAAAGGTATATTGACAATTGATCAAGAGCTTACGTTGGATAAGTCAAGTGCTCCAATTGTTACGAGTTTTGCAGCTAATAAGGATGTATTTAGCCAAAGTTTTGCAAATGCAATGATAAAAATGGCAAATATTGATGTTTTAGTGGGGAGTGCTGGAGAAATTAGGAAAAATTGTGGGGTTTTTAATCAGAAGGCTAATCGCAAGGTTGTTAATTAGGAAACATATGCTATAATATAGTATTTAATTTTGAGTGTATTATTTTTATTTTACTAAAAAAATAAATATAAGGTGTATGTTTTTGCATTATTTTATATATGGGAATTGTAAAATAACTTGGTAAGATATCGTTTTTTGTATTGTTACAATACCTCCCTTGTAATGTTATTATGTTAATGGAGTGTTCAATAAAATATTAAGTGTGGTTTATGTTATTAAAAAAAAACTCCTAATGTGCAAATTTCCCTTAGTTTAACTTAGATATATTTAACTAGCAATTATATATTATTAATTGTTAGCAAACAAGAAATATATTCCAAGCAAATAAATTAAGAGAAATAAAAAATGACAGTGTAGAGTTTTATTTCTTGTTTTTCTCAAGTGTCTTTAAGTATATAATTCATTACCTATCATATCATAATTATATGTAAATTATACTGCTACAAAAATATTGTTGTAACTTGTTAGGTTGGGTTAATATGACATTAATACATGAACATGTGGAGTATGGATATTAATAACATAATGGTGGGAATTATGAACATTTTTCCTTAAATAGTACTTTCTATTTAAGAAACAAAAGGAGATTTTCGAATTATGTGATTTTAAATTAAAGATGTGTGTAATTATTTAAAATCTTCTAGTATTAAATTTTACATGTAGAATATTAAAATTAGAGAATATACTAAATATTAAAAGAGATTCGTTTTTTTTAACTTTAAAAAACACTTAAATTGAGACGAAAATAATACGCGAAATAGTCAAGCAATAGTTCTTGAGAAATCTCGGACTAATACACGTTAAAAGGGAAAATGCCAAAATGGTCCTCCTCCTACCAAACACAAAAAACTAATTCGAATGTACAAACAACACAAAGCACATTATTATTGGTGCTAATTATATTCTGAAATTACATTTTCTCTAATTATATTTCTTTGTGAAAAATATTGTTTCGAATGTGTATATATATATATATATATATGACGAAATAGATATATGTATCTTAGATACATGTGAGTCAAATTAGGTGAAATTTATTTGTAATACATTTTATTAAAACATGATTCACTGAGATACACTGACTCTCTTGCTCGCATCTCTTCTCTCTCGCTCTCCCGCCCACCTCTCTCCTTAGATATTTGTATTTCAAAACGTATATATCCAGTATCAATTTCATATTTTGTGTATCAAAATTTATTCCATTTGATATCAAATATTTAGTGCATTAATATATAAATACATATATCTACTGTCAAAACATACACTAATACATCAATATATACATCTAATATCAAAATATGCACTCATACCTTCATTAATTGCCTCAACATGTCATCACCGATATGTAGGGGTGTTCATGGTTTGGATAAAAACCAATCCAAACTGAAAAATCAAATCAAATCAATTAAATGAACCGATTTAATTTGGGTTTTGGTTTGATTTGGTTTTAGATTGTTAAGAACCGATAGTATTTGGTTTGGTTATGGTTTTGTTCGAAAAAAATCGAAGAAATAACCGAACCAACAAGTTATATACATAAATTTTATTATTATGCATACATAATATATTATATTCATAAACAATTTTAAAGATTTTATATATGTTTCATCAAAATTTATTTATAATTTACTTATGAAAGAAAAAATGTCCAAGGTGAGAACATTTTTCTTATTGGTTTCATGTATATGAGTGTCTATGAAAATTCTTTGTGGAACTGAAAATGTCATTGTCTCTTTCTTCTATGCCAAAATAGTGAATTTTGAAGTTTTATTCAGTAAATTCAATGATCGAAAGCTCTGTAATGCCAGTCATTCTAACTTTTTTTCGTTTAAATGGATTGTTGTCATTTTTTTCATGTTTTGAATGAATTATTTCTTTTATTTTTATGTATGGTTAATAACTGAATAACTGAACCAAACCAAACCAAACCAAAACCGAAAACAACCAAATTGATAAATGTATATTATATTTGGTTTGGTTTGGTTTTGATAATTTTAAAACCGATTAAGTTGATTTGATTTTGATTTTGACCAATAATCGATCCAAACCAACCCGTGAACACCCCTACCGATATGTAAGTATTTTAAAGCAAGGTAAAAAAAATTATTACGTATGGTAAAAATGTTTGTCTAATTAGATAATTTCCACTTAATAAACCAAAAAGGGATCTTCTAAAATCATAAACACATAGACCATAGTATGAAGTAGTAGTATAGTTTAACTCTTCTTGGAATGACACATGTTTTTTGGACTTTGGTACAACGAAGTTTCCTTTCTACTTAGAGTGGGAATTGTTGTCTCATTATCGAAACTTCCAACTAAAAACTCTTTTGTTCTTTTTTTTTTGTTTAACTAATTGTTTAAGAGTGACAACACATTTACAAAATGTTTGTGAGATGATAAAATACTCACTCTTTCTTATTGTATGTAATAGAATTATCATTTCGAAGGTCAATTAATTTTTGTCTTCTATCTGTGTTTCTTTTTTTAAAACACATAATATATAAACATATTTTTTTAACTTAATTTCAATTTATATTTAAGTAGAATTGAATAGAGCTAACTTAAATAGTAGTAATATATATATATATATATATATATATATATATATATATATTCTTTTAATCGTATGATTAAGGCATGTGATTATTAAAAAAATTGCACCATTGATTTTAAAATACGACACACGTCATACATTTTATGGAGATTGAGAAGCCGCATTCCATTTTAGCATACGAGTTTATAAAATGGATGATAAATTAGTAAATTTGAATCCTACACAGAAAAAAGTACTCATATTATTAATTATAATCACTTCTCTAAATATTAAATTTATTGTATTCAAAAGATTATATCGTAAAATTGTCATTCTATTTATTGTTACTAAAAAAGGTGTATCAAGTCGATACTTGATAGGTAAAAATAGACATAGGAGGCACATATTAGAGGAAACAAATATATATCTTGACATGAAAACCTAGTTTAGGCTGTTAGTGCAAATCCAATAAATAAATAAAAACCTAATTAATGTGTGCACAAGATATTAATGTCCATTTAAGACAATCTTTTTTGGAGAAAAGGATAGACACTCTAGTACTTAGCTACTAAAAGAATTATTTATATACAAGTTTAAGGACTAAAGAAGAGAAAAACTAAATACAAAGTGTTTCCAAAAATCACTTTTTAGAAAGAAAAAAAAAACTAATTTAAAATGATTTACAGTAATTAAATGTAAAAAGAAATGATGTCATGCACCTCTATTTGAGGTGTGCTTGTTGCGAATATATATAGGACCCGTTTGATCATGAGAATTATTTATTTTTTTATTTAATTATTTATATATGAGATTTAATCAGCGACATTACTTGATTATCTATTTTATGATAGTTTTCTTTTAAAGCAGATTTGATTGTTTGAGTCAGATAAATTAATTAAGTTGAGTGATTTTTCTACTTTTTAGAAATTAAGGGCATAAATCATATTTCATATTTATTTTTCTAGAAAAAGTACGTTTAAACAACTAGATATTATTTGCAAAAACTATCACCAAATATAACTTCATCTTCAACTCCAACTTCATAAATTCGAAAAAAATATTTACTAAATTATAGTTTCAAAAACTTAATTTAGTTAAAAGATGATACTTATATAAATAGGTCATCAAGGCCATTTGAATCCCTTATACATTTAGCTCTCTCCTCTCTTCTCTCTTCTCTCTTCTCTCTTCTCTCTTCCCATTCATAATAATGAATTTTTTTCCATTCCATTTCAAGCCAAAATCACCTCTTTCTATATTCCTCAACATCTCTTTCCTTTTTCTACTCATATTTTATACTCTTACTTCCAATGTTACTTTTAGCCAATCTCAAATTAGACACATCCATTTATCAAACACTAACAATAATGATTGCTCCAACTTACATAAATTTAGTGATGCACAATCAAAATGTACCTACATAAAAGAAAACATGAATTCTTGTTCTACAAAAGGGTATTTGAATTATCTTCAATTTTTCTATTGCACCTTAGGTACGTTACCAAAATTAGGGTACGTTATCCTAGTTGTATGGCTTATTTTGTTATTTTATTTGTTAGGTAATACCGCGGCGGAGTACTTTTGTCCTTGTGCTGAGGGTTTATCTAAAGTCATGAATCTTTCCCCAGCTATAGCTGGAACAACTCTTCTCCCTCTAGGAAATGGAGCTAACGATGTTTTTTCGAGTATCATATCGTTCACTCGATCTAGCAATAGTGGCACTGTGGGGCTTAATAGTGTGTTAGGTGGTGCATTTTTCATTTCTTGTTTCGTTGTGGGAGTTATAAGTATACTATTGTGTATGACTACGTCCCAACTTGGAGTAACGATTGATAAATCGAGTTTTATTAGGGATGTATTGTTCATTATTTTTACATTATCATGTCTTGTTGGGGTTATTGTTGTTGGGAGAGTTAGTTTGTGGATAGCAATTTGTTTCTCTTGCATTTATGTTGTTTACATTTGTGTGGTATGTGCTATGCATTTTCTTGTTAGTAAGAAGGAGGCGACTAGAAATGTGAATTTACATGGCAAAGAAGATGATGATGATGGATTTGATCGCGATGTTGAGGTACCATTGTTAGGGTGTATTGATGAGGAGAATTGTTCAAGTCATGTGAAACAAACCATACAAATGAATTCTCCTCCTATAGGCGCGGCCTCATCATCTTGTTGCAAATTCTTGCATCATTTTCTTAGTGTTGTAGAACTGCCCCTATACTTGCCAAGAAGGCTAACCATCCCGGTTGTTAATGAGGAACGTTGGTCCAAGCCAATGGCGGTGATTTCAGCAACATTGGCACCAATTCTTGCAGCATTTGTTTTAAGTCTTACAGGAGAAGTCATAGATTATTCCAACACGAACTTAGTCATTGTCATGACATCAGTTTTTGTTGGACTTATCTTAGGGAATGTGGCATATTTTTCTACACAAAACTCTAGTCCTCCAAAGAAATGCTTGTTGATTTGGCTTCTTGGAGGATTTGTTATGAGTACTACATGGACATATATTCTTGCACA